TGCAGTGCACGCGCGCGCCGTCGAGTGCAACCGTCGCGCGCAGGTGGGGGACTTCCTCGAGAGCGGCGTCGTGCTGCAGCGCGCGCTCCAACGCTTCGGGCGCGAGCGCGGTGATCAGCAGCGCGACTTCCGCCTGCGCGGAGAAGTAGGAGGCCGAGAGCCGTAATTGCACGGTGCAGCTGGCGACGGTGTTGTCCTCGCCGATCGTGAACGCCACGCGCTCGATGTGCCGCTCGTCGAGCTCGGGCTTGAAGTAGACGTCGATTGCTTTGTCCTCGCGGCGCACCACGCTTAGCGGATAAGGCGTTGCGAGCCGCAGCAGCTCTGCGGGGTGTGCGGACTCGGATATGTATGCGCACTGCGGCGAATAATACCGACGCTTAGGCTCGGCGAGCGGCTTCGTGCAGCCGTGCGCCTTGAGCGAGAAGTGATGGACGTCCACAAGCGCGCTGTCCGCGCCGCGCTCGATGCGCGTGTCCTGCGCAGCGAAGAAGAAGATCTGCGCGATCCCCAGGCGCTCGTCGTAGTGCTCTGTGTGCTCGTCGTCCAGTTGGACGCGCAGCAGCCCGGAGCAGTTGTGTACGCGCAGCGAGACGGCGCTGCGCGGCTTGAGGCGTAAGCCGTTGAAGCGCGAGATTCGGCGTTGCTGCGTGCCGCTAAGCAGGTTTAGCGACGGCTCGTACGCCATGCCTTGTCGTTGGGAGAACGAGCTCTGGAAGGCGATGGAGAAGCCGGTTTCGAAGCTTTTGCTCTGCGTGAATGCGAAGCCGAGTTCGCCGACCTGCGCTGCAACCGTGAATCGCATCTCCAGCTCGAAGCAGCCGAGATAGTTCGGCACTAGCGGCTCGATGCGCAAAGTGGCGTTGCTCTGCTTCGGCAGCTCTAGAGTGAAGTTGGCAAGGGTTAGCTCGTTTTTCGAGCCGACGGTTGTCCCGCTGGACGTGATGAGTTGCAGATCGTTAGCGAAGTTTTTGAGCACCTCTAGACGCTCCGTCTGCTGTTTCACGATGAAGATCAAGTGTTGGTAGTTCGCCGTAGTGTTTTCGTGCTCGTTCTTCTCGAAGTCCAGCTGCTGCAGTTTGTGCTGCAACACAGGCAGTTCGGCGAACTTGCGCAGCGTCTCGACGACGAACTTCTGCTCGCGCTTCAGCTGCTTGGTGCGAGCGCGCGAGAGCCGACGCAGCTGCAGCGGCGCGTTGTCGTTGATTGAGTTCAGTCGCTGCGCGGTCTGCACTACTCGCAGCAGCTGCGCGTTGAGCTGCGTCTCGGTGCGCGCGTCCGTCTTGCCTTTTCGCGAGATGCTTACGCCCCGCCACTCGGGCTGCGGCGCGAGAGCTACGGACTCAGTCGGGGACTCTGCAGCCGTGCTCTCGCTCTGTGCGTGCAGAGCGGCCCGTACGCTGCGCGACGATCCGAGCTGCAGAAGTTCGCAGTGCGTTTTCAGCTGCGTCAGCCCGTACTGCGTCCGTGAGTCTGCGCCATCCCCGTCGCGCAGCAGTTGCACGACGCCGAACACGTTCTCGCCGACCGGCATGCCCGCCTTCTCCGCGGCGGCGCAGAGCGGCACGTCCGGCGCGAACAGGGCGGCGTTCGGAAACACCTTGTGCTTAACGCTCGCGCAGTTTGCGGCGCAGTAGACTTTCACAGTTACGTCACTGCTCTTGAAGACGTCGGCTATGTCGCGGAAAGTCGTCTCGCACGTCGTGTTGAGCACATGGCTGTAGCTCGCCGCCTCAGAAGTCACGCACGGCACCGCGAACACAGTATGCGGCAGCACGGTGTCGTGCATGAGGAATTCCTTTTTGCGGTACGTCACGCTGTACACATCGCTTGCGCAACTTTTGCCGCGGTCCTCCAACAGATCCTCGATCTCAACCGCGCCACTCGGGTCCATTAGAGGCGCAATGTATCTGTCGTCCCCAGGCCGCTGGCGCGTCCCGATCAGCACCTCGACGTTCGAGTTGCTTATCTCCGCAATCTTGTGCACAATATCCAAGTGCTCGCGTGTCTCAATGCGCATCGGGTGCATCCCAATCGCCGCGCACGAAGCCGTGATCGTGTCGTTCGCGAAGCGCAGCAACAAGTAGTTGGCAAACGCGTAGCCTTGCCCACCCTCGCAGTAGATGCGCACGACTTCACTGGCGGTGCAGGCATTTGCGAAGTAGTAGAGGCCGTCGCGCATGCCTCTACACGAGCGCAGTGGCGTCTGCAGCAAGCCGGAAGCAGTCGTCTGTCGCTTTCGCAGCGCGGCAGACTTCGCTTGAATAGTTTGCTTGCTTGCGCTGGAGACGGTTTCGAAAACGGAGCGGCTCTTGTTCAGTTTGACAATGCAATCTTTCTCGCGCGCCAAGTCCTCAGTGTGCTCGACCAGGTCGCCGTACGCGCCGTTGATATGCTTCGCAGTTGCCAAAGTGGGCAGCGATTCGCGGATGTAGGTCCGGAACCAGCGGTAGTTAGGCTTCGGCTGTGCGCTGAGCGGCTCGCAGGGCTTCGCATGGAGCTGCATGCCTTTGTGCGACAGCTTTAAACTCGTGATTCCGTACGCGTACAGGTGCTCCATGCGGCCGAACTCGGGGTGTGCGCTGAGCAGTTCGAGCGTGAGCTGCTGCACTTCCGTAGTCGCGAAGAAGTCTGTCGTACCATTTGTGTTGTTGAACGGCACCTCACTCAGCAGCGTGCGCGGCTCGTCCGCGTTTTCCTTCCACAATTGATAGTGCGCTGCAGGGAACTCCCACTCGATCTCAACCTGGTCAATGCTTAGCGGCTGTTCAAAGTAGAGCGTGAGCTTGTCACGCTCTCTGCGGTCTGAGTGCAGTGCAGACAGCCAATACGTCTCTTGGTCGCCGTCAATCGCGTTCGCCGCGAGGTGGTCCTGGTCTTGCGCGCTACTCGCTTCGATGGTCGCTGTGTCCTTTAGGTCGGCGTGAACGTGTCGCTCCGACGAGCCCTCTGCCGTGATGCAAAGCGTTGCAGTTCGCGGTGACGTAATTTGCAGGAAGAACTGGTCTGTGAACTCTACCGTTACGGCTTCGTCGCTCTCGCACGCTGTAAGCTGTAGCGATTCCTCGTGCGCGTTGTAAGCGAGACACTGTGATAGCGAAGCGGACTCGAGGCGGTCGCCGGATAGCAGCTGCCACATGTCTCCGTTGTCTAGCCGCGCTAGCGCAACGGAACAGGGTACGAGGTCGACCATCGGCACGTCGCCCCCGCTGCCTTCTTTTGCGTACAGGCAAAATTCTTCTGTTTCCGTAATCGTAATGCCGTTGTGCAGCGCGAACGGCGTGTTTGATCCGATGTACGGCTGCAGAAAGCGAAGAGAGAACTGCCCAGAAGTGTTCAAGAAGACAAACGACAGTTTAGTGATCGAACTTGGCCGCATTAGTATGTGATAGGTGTTCATGTCGCTTTCTTGCTGATATGCTTCGGTATAGTAGACAGCGCGAAGATTTTCGGTCCTTCCGGACTGCACATCCTGAAGATCGGTGTTCAATCCTGAGTACACAAGCGGGTTGACCTTGCGCTCGTCAGAGCTGAGTACAAAGCCAAAAATGGTCGTGGGAACGTTAAACTCGCAGTTCACCGTGACTTGCTCGTTAGTCTGTATCGTCCAAGTCGCAAGGTTGTCTTCGTAAATATTCAGCAGGCCGCTCTTCTTGGCGTCGACGAGCTTGCCACCCACTAGCGCGCTCAGGTTGTCGCAGCGAAATGGAGCGCCGATCTCGCTGTTCGCAAGCGCGCTGACGAGGAGAAAGACTCTCTTCATCTAACTACCTATGTTTCCTCGAGTCGCGTACTCCGACGCATTTGATCAAAAATGAAAATTGATTTTTCGGCTGCCTTTTTGAGCAAAATGCTTCTCGCAATTGGCGCGAGTTTTGTGTAACAAAGTTCGGAGTATGGGGTACGTGTTGGAGGCCGAGTTTTGGGAGCACGAGGCGAGCTCTGTGCTGCTTGAGCGCAACAACTATGTGACTCGCGATAACGCGCAGGCATGTTGCGACGAGTTCCGTGATGTTTACGACCTAATTCCTGTAGACTTTTGCGCGCGCTGGGCCGCAGCGTGCCGCGCGACGCCGTCGAAGCCAGAAGCAGAGGAATTCGCCCGAATCTTTGAGCAGGACGCGATCCGCACGTTCAATAGCGAAGAGTACCGCGCGGCGCACGTTGATACGCTCTGTGTCATTTTCAGCGTGCTTAAAGACTACCACCAGGGCGTTGGCTTTCTCGCAGCTTTTTTCCGGCTGTTTTTGCGGCGCTCTGAGGCGGTAATGCTCGTGCTTTTTCTCAGCGAGCACTGCTGCGAGGGCTTTTACAAGCTGCAGAACGCTGCGTACTTGCGCGACTGCAAGATTTTCGACTGTTTGCTCAGAGCGCGACAGCCGCGGCTTGCCGCGCACTTGGCGCGGCATGTAGTGTCGGGACAGTATCTGTCCAAATTCTGGATCGGCATGGGGCTGCACGTGCTGCCGCTGTCCTTCATGGTACGGCTGCTCGGCGCGCTGGTCGCCATCCCCGAGAAGGAAACGCTCTACTGCTTCAGTCTGTGTTTGCTCGAATGTTTAGAGCCGCAACTTCTGCAACTGGCTCAGACGCAGAAGATTTTGGAGGTGTTGCGCTTCGCGAAGTTGCCTGCGGACGCACTCGCGGAGGAAAGTCCGGAGCACGCCCTATTTTGCGAAATTTTTGAAAAACTAGATTGCGCAACGATCGACGAGAGTGCGCTGGCGCGCGCAGCGGAAAAAGTCGACGTTGAAATGCAAGCAGCGCAGAGGCAGATGGAGGAGTGTGAAGAAGAATACAGCTACACGGCGGACGAACTCAGCGACTCCGACGCAAGCTGAGCGCTGTGCGCGTGGCGAAGTGCGCGCTTGAAGGCGACACGAGCGACGGGCAGAAAGCGTGCGACGGTCGCCTGCCGTCTGCGCACCTCTGCGGTGTCGACGCTAACGTTAGCGCAGAGGCTATTTTTCCGCTTTAAAAATACTAGCATTTGCCAGTAGATGGCCAAAAAAACCGACGTACGAGAGGATGCGCGGCTGCGCATCGCCATCGTAAACTCTGACCGCTGTAAGCCGAAAAAGTGCAGTCAGGAATGCCGACGGTACTGCCCGGTCGTGCGAACTGGGAAGCAGTGCATCATCGTGACGCCTGCTTCGAAGCAGGCGGCGATTAGCGAGATTCTTTGTATTGGCTGCGGCATTTGCGTGAAGAAATGCCCGTTCGACGCGATCCAGATCATCAATTTACCAAAGGACTTGAGCAAGGAGACTTCGCATCGTTTTGGGCAGAACAGCTTTAAGTTGCACCGCTTGCCGATGCCGCGTCCGGGCATAGTGCTAGGATTGCTGGGGCGTAACGGTATGGGAAAGACGACTGCGCTCGCGATCTTGAGCGGGCGGCTGAAGCCGAATCTTGGAAACTTCGAGAAGCCGCCCAGCTGGAACGAAATTGTGGCGCACTATCGCGGCAGCGAGTTGCAAAACTATTTGCGGCGGCTGCAGAACGGCGACCTGAGTACCACGGTAAAGCCGCAGTATGTGGACGACTTGGCGCGCCGTGTGAAAAAGTCCGTGTCGGACGTAATTTTGAACGGTGCCTCGACGTTCACGGAGCGCATGACCGAGCTGATCGATGCGATGGCTATGCAGGCGCTGCTGGAGCGCAAGGTGTTCGAACTGTCGGGCGGTGAGTTGCAGCGCTTTGCGATTCTGGTAGCGATTTTGCGGAACACTGACGTGCTGATGTTCGACGAACCGTCTTCTTACTTGGACATCAAGCAGCGCATGATGGTCGCGCGGCTCATCCGCGCGCAGTGCTCCGACAAAAACTTCATCATCTGCGTCGAGCACGACCTCGCGATCTGCGACTACTTGAGCGACGTGATTTGCTGTCTGTGGGGGCACGCGAGCGCGTACGGCGTGATTTCGACGCCGTACGGCGTAAAGGAAGGCATCAACGTGTACTTAGAGGGATTCCTGCCCTCGGAGAACTTACGTTTCCGCGAAGAAAGTTTGCAGTTTAAGATTCGCGACGAAATCGAGAACGAAATTCACGACGAAAAAACGTACAAGTACCCGGCGATGCGAAAGACGCTCGGCGACTTCGTGCTGCACGTTGAAGCAGGGCACTTTTCGAACTCGCAGATCACTGTGCTCGTCGGCGAGAATGGCACGGGCAAGAGCACGTTCATCCGGCTGCTCGCGGGGTTGCTGAGCCCTGACGAGGCAGAGCACGCGTTGCCGAACTTGGTGGTCTCCACGAAACCGCAAATGGTTACTCCGAAGTTCGAGGGCACCGTGAACGACTTGTTGCTCACGAAAATCCGCGAGTCGTACACGCACCCACAGTTCATCACCGACTGTGTCAAACCGCTGGGCGTCGACAAGATCAAAGATCTGCAGGTGCAGACGCTGTCGGGCGGCGAGTTGCAGCGCGTGGCGCTGATCTTAGCGCTGGGCAAGTCGGCAGACATTTATCTGCTCGACGAGCCGAGTGCGTACTTGGACTGCGAGACGCGCATTGAGGCCGCGAAAGTTATCAAGCGCTTCATCTTTCACGCGAAGAAGACGGCGTTCGTGGTCGAACACGACTTCATCATGGCGACCTATTTGGCGGACCGCGTACTTGTGTACGAGGGCCGGCCGGGCGTGGAGTGTCACGCGCGCTCGCCACAGTCACTGGTTAGCGGAATGAATCGCTTCTTGAAGATGCTCGACACAACGTTTCGGCGCGACATGCTGAACTTCCGTCCGCGCATCAACAAAGCCGACTCGGTCAAGGATCGCGAACAGAAGGCTGCGGGAAACTTCTTCGTGGTGGACAACGACTAGCTGCGTCGGTGTGCATTTACGATTCGGCGGCAGCGGCGGCGACCGGCGTGTTTTCGAGCGCTCCTTCCGTCGCGGCGTCGGCCGCAGTGGTTGTGCCCGCGGCGAGCTGCTCGAGGTAGCGTTCTTTGTTTTCCTTTGCACGGTCGAGGTAGGGCTGCTTCGTTTCGGGGCTCATCTTTTGCCACTCTTCGCCGACGATCTTGCCAATTTCTTTGACGTTAGTTTTCAGTTCGGGCCGCTCGACGAGCAGCTGCACGCGTCGCTCGCCCATGTAGATGAAGAAGGCGGAAATCGGTCGCTTTGGGCCTTCCTTTTTCTTTTTCGGAGCGGCGCGTTTCGCCTTTTTAGTTACCTCAGCATCGCTTTTCGCAGCCATGTGTTCAAACGTTTATAAAGAAAATAATGAGGGAAATTAAATCGAGTGCGCATATTCGCGCTTCGAGTTGCAGGCTGCGCTAATCGTCTGACGCGCGGCGCGCTCGGCGCGCTCGGCGGATAGACGAAACAAAGAATTTACTAATTTTTAATTTTAGTTTCGAATGCCGACCAAGGAGAAAAAGACCAAAGCGCAAATTGCCGCCGCCGCAGCCGCCGGCGCGCGCAACAAGAAGAAGAAGTGGGCGCACGACCGCAAGGCCGAGAAGCAGAAGAACTCAGCCTTCTTCTCGCAGGAGAGTTACGCGCGCTTCCTCGCCGAAGTTCCGAAGCTCCGTGTGATCACGCCGCACGTGGTCAGCGAGAAGTACAAGATCAACCTGTCTCTCGCGCGCTGCGCGATCCGCGAGCTCGAAGAGCAGCGGCTGATTAAGCGCGCGACCGACAGCCAGAAGACCATGATCTACACTGTTGCATAGTTTCAGCGCTCGAAACAGCGCAGCTTTGCGCGCGCGTTTTCGAAGTCCGAGGCGCCGTAAAGCAGCGTCACTTTGTTCTGCGCGGCCCACTTGTGCAGCTCGCTGTATTCGTAAAAGTTGCCGCCGCCCAGAAAGAAGACGATCAGCGCGCTGGAGGCCGATGGCGCGTCTGGCGCGCTGAGCACGCGTACGTCGCGTGCGCGGCGCAGCGTCTTCTGCAGCAGTGTCGCGGTCGCGGGCACGTAGGTCGAGGCGACCAGCTGACGCCAGAGCTCGACGCTCTTGCCCATGACGGAGCCGAGCAACTTTGAGCGCGGGTCCGCGGGCGCGGCGCGCGCGGCAGCGGGCTCTGCGAACTGGAAGGCGGCGAGCTGCGAGAACTTGTCGCGCGACTTGCAGAAGTTGGCGAGCGCGGGCGGCGGCGTTTTGAAGCGCTCTGCGCAGAGCCGCTGCACGGTCGGCACGTCGACCGGTTTCGCGAAATGCGTCGCGAGCAGCGCGGCGCGCAAGAAGTTCTCGTCTGCGCCGAGTGGCAGCAGCTCGCGTAGTTCTTCGAGGTGTGCGGGCTTCAGCTCGCCCGCCGCCAGCAGGTTGTTCGAGAACGCGGAGTACCTGTCGATCGCGCCCTCTTTGATTTTCTGCAACAGCGCCTGGCAGATTGCGGTGTGCTTGTCGATCTCGGCCTTTTCGCGCATGAAACGCACTGCATCGTCGAAGCCCGCCGCCTGTTGCAGCGCGCCGCCCGCCGACTGCGTGACGTTCAGGTGCTTCACCTTCGCGGAAAGGCTTTTCAGCCGCTCTGCGCAGTGCGCAGCAACTTCCGGAAACGTCGCGTCGCAGTGCTCGAGGAAAAAGGCGTCGTGCAGACCGCTGAGGTCGTGCTTCGCGCCGTCGAGGAGCACGAAGTTGTCTTCCACCTGCAGCAAGTCGTAGATCAGCTGGGCGTAAGTCCAGAAATGCGCGAACGCTGGTGCGATGTCTTCCATGCGGTTCACGAGCAGCAGCGTGGGACATCCGAGCTCGGTCTGATGCAGCTCGAGGGGCGCCGCGCTCGCGGCGTTGCGCGCCGCGAACTGTGTGAGCTGCGCGGCCAGCTGCTCGCCGAGGTACTGCGCGGGCGAGGGCGCGTTGCTGAACGCGACGTGTGGCGTGCAGCGCAGCGTCACGCAGAGCGAGAGCAAGCCTTCGAGCAGTGGCGCGGCTGCGCGCGCCAGCTGCGCCTCGGTGGGGTCCGCGACGAAGAAGTCTGCGAATGCGGTTGGCTGCTCGAGCGAAAAGACCTGCTGTCGCAGCGCGAGCAGCCGCGCGAAGCGTTCGAAAACGCGGCGCGGCGGCGCGGCCGCGGACGCTGCGTTCAGCGCTGAGGCGAACGCGTCGAGCTCCGCGGCAGGCGCGGCGCCGACGAAGTCCACGTAGTACGCGGAGTACTTCTGCTGCCGCGCGTCTTGCGCGATGGCCGCGAGGTTCTCGCGCGTCGCCGTCACGAAGTAGACCGCGGTGCTGTTGCGCACTTTGTGTCGCGGCGCGTGCAGCATCAGCGTCAGGGTGACGCCGAGCGCGCGCAGTTTCCCGACACTGAACAGCGGCGCGATGACGCGCTTGCCAACTTCGTCGAGCACCAGAATTTTCCACGTGGAGCCCGGCGTCTTAAACACGCCGAGCAGTTCGCGGCTGAGCGCGACGCTCACGTCCAGCCGCAGCTCCTCGGCGCTCATGTAGCGATCAAATTAAATTCACATAAAAGATTTCGGGAAAAGCGGCGCCTAGCGGTAGCGGCGCAGCGAAACCAAGTTGCGGCGCTTCCAGTTGGCGCGGCGGCCCGGACGCAGCTTCGTCGTGCAGCGGCCCTTCGTGGACAGTCCGCGGCTCTTGCGGCCCGCGCCGGTAACGGCGCGCATCTCGCGGTGCTTGCGCGCCGCGGCGCAAATCCAGTTGACGCGCGGGTCGTTGCGGATGGCGTTGTGCATCGGGTCCACCAGCAGCACCTCGAAGTACTTGTAGAGCCCGTCCTGCGCGATCCAGTAGCTGTTGAGCACGCGCAGCGCGCCGCAGGCGCGGCCCACGCGCTGCTCCGCGAGCACGCGCAGCGACAGCGAGGACTTCTGTTTGCAGACGCCCTGGTGCTTGGGCTTGCCGTAGACGATGCCCTTGCGCACGCGCTTCTTGCGGTCGCCGCGGCGCACGCGCACGCGGTACACTACAAAGCCCTGCTTCGCCTTGTAGCCGAGGCGGTGCGCCTTGTCAATGCGCGTCGGGCGCGTGACGCGGTGCACGCCGGGCAAGTGGCGGTACTCCCACGTGCGAATGCGTTGCAGGTAGCGCAGCACATCGCTCTGCTTTTTGTTCCAAAGCGCCTGTAGGTATCGCGCAGCTCCCATCGCGGATTTTCTATTTGCGAATATCGATTAAATTGTACTGTCTTTAGTATTTAAAACGTTGGCGCCGCGCGGCGACGCTTTTTGATCTATGCGTTCTGACCCGAAAGACCCGCGCAGTTTCGTCGTTTTCGACGCGATCTTTGCGGGGCTCGACCGCGACCGCGACGGCGTGCTCAGCCACAAAGACTTGTTGGCGCTGTTCCGCGCGCTCGGCGTGCAGGCGAACGAGTTCGATGTGCAGCACTTCATGCGAAATCTGCTGGTGCAGACGAACTGCGGACGGCTTGACGCGGAGGTCGACGGCTTTAGCGCGAGCATGCTCGAGCGCTTCTACGAAGCCTTCAAATTCGTAAGTGCGCGCGGCGCCCAGCAGAGCTCGTTCGCGGCTGCGGCCGACGACTGGGCTGTGCGTTTTCTGAAGCGCGACCAGCATGCGCTGAACGAACAGGCGCTGCTGCAGGTAGCGCACGCACTTGGGTAAGTCGCGCGCTGCAGCACGCAGCATCAAGCTCTCCGCGGTAGACGCGAAGCAAACGCTCGCGCTTTGGAACGCGCTGCTCGCGCACCCGACTTACACGGAGCAGATGCGCAAGCAGTTCGGCAGCGTGCCGAATCCGCCGAGCGACCTCGAGTCGGGCAGCGACTTGCTGCCCGCGCCACTGCTCGTCGAAGATATTTACCGTCTGCTCAAGATTTACCCGTGAGGCGTGTGCGTGGCGCACGCGATGACCGGGAGTATCTCGAGCTGCGGCGGCCGCTCAAACTGACGCTCGTTCGCGAGTCGCAGCGTGCGCGCTGCGCGGCCGGCGAGTTGCAGCGACGCGGTTGCGCGACTAAACGTGCGCTGCCAGTCCTCTGCGGCATCCGGCGGCGCAGCGCGGTCTTCTTGCTGCGAGTCGGCGGCTGTAGGCGCCGGCGGACGGCTGGCCGCGCCGCGCGCAGCATAGTTTGCTGAGTGTCTTTCGCAGACTGAGAACGCGGACGCTGATTCTGCGAGTGGCGTGCGCGTTTTGCTGCACGCCGTCGCATACGCGTTGTGGTCGCGCGGCGGGTTGCGCTCACGGTGCGACTGCCTCGAGGCTGGCTTGCGCACGGGGACTACTTCGCTTGAAATGGCCTTAGGCGTCGGCAGAGGTTGCGCGGCGGCGGCCGCGGCCACGGGCGCCGTTGCTTTCGCCACTGCCTTCACTGCTGCTGTCCGCGGTCTTGTGGCTGCAGCAGCTTTCGCGGTGCCAGTCGGTGTCGTGGCGCGCGCAGCGCTGCGGTCTGCTTGGCTGCGAAGCTGCGGGTACTGCCGCGCGCGAAGTTGTACGGCGCAGATGCACTTGCCGCGCACTGCCTCGGTGCGCGGCTCCGCCGCGTCCGCGGAGCACTGCGCGACTGCCGCGCTGGATAACAGTTCATATTCGCGCTGGATCGGCAGTGCATCATTGTAACTGGAGAGCGGGCTGCTCTGTGCGGCGGAGCTCGAAACTTCGCTTCGCGGCAGCACCGAGCCGCCCAGGGTGGCGTGCACTGCGCCGCGAGCTGGGTCGCTGTCGACGCATCTAGCGCGAAGCCAGTTCTTGCACGACTGCTGCGGCGAGTTGCGCAGCGGGCACTGCACTGCCAGCTGGTGACTAGACGCGTGTTTGGTCAGCTGGCTCGCCAGCACTGTCGAGTCGCTGACCAGCCGCGAATTCGGCTCGCCGCGGGGCTCGTCGGGGCGCCCGTCTCCATACTCGCTGCCCGCTCCTACGCGCAGCAGATTTGTGTGCCTGAACACTTC